TGAAAATAAGGACTACAAATCTTTGTTTAATCCCTAGGAAAATGTACTGCCTGGGTTTATTTCATGTGAACCTCTATTTAGGCCCCTCCTGACTTGAATTCTCTTATTGTAAAGATCCCAGTCCTTTGCTTCTAGATATTTAAAACATTTGAAATGAGGAATTTTGTTTTTTAAACAAATAAGTTAGGGCCAACCCCGTGGCGCACTCGGGAGAGTGCAGCACTGGGAGCGCAGCGATGCTCCCGCTGCGGGTTCGGATCCTATATAGGAATGGCTGGTGCGCTCACTGGCTGAGCGTGGTGCGGGCGACACCACACCAAGTGTTGTGATCCCCTTACCGGTCACGAAAAAGACAAAAAAAAATAAAAACAAATAAGTTAGGGCCAACCCCGTGGCGCACTCGGGAGAGTGCAGCACTGGGAGCGCAGCGACGCTCCCGCTGTGGGTTCGGATCCTATATAGGAATGGCTGGTGCGCTCACTGGCTGAGCGTGGTGCGGGCGACACCACACCAAGTGTTGTGATCCCCTTACCGGTCACGAAAAAGACAAAAAAAAATAAAAACAAATAAGTTAATTCCAAGTTTCTACTCTTACAGTATGTTCCTAATTATATATAGTTAATAAAATGTGGAGAATTAATTTTTGAAAAATGGGAAAATTATCTTAACATGTATTTTCCTTATCCTGGGAGAATTAGTTTTCATAAGGTTTGAACGTACTTTGTTGTTGTGTGTGTGTGTCTGTGTGCATGTGCGTGCATGTGTGTGTGTGTGTGTGTGTGTGTGTGTGTGTGTGTTTGTTGGTGGCTGGCAGGTTTAGGGGATCGAACCTTGGACCTTGGTGTTAGCACCATCACGCTCTAACCAACTGAGCTAACCAGCCAGNTTTTTTTTTTTTTTTTTTTTTTAAGTAAGAGTTTTCATGAGCATTTACTTGTTCCTTCAGCTGACCAATATGTTCAGCCTTGCACCAAGATCATCTTAGTGACAAAAGTAATTGGAGTTTTGCAGCAAAAAGCCTCAGCTATTTTACTTACTCCCAATAGAGTTTTCATCTTATGTCTTCTCTCACATGACCCTGTAACAGCCCTAATCATCCTTTCTTTTCTTTTCTTTGTAGCATTACCAGGAGTATGAAAAGGTTGAGGTATGTTGGAGCTGACTGCCATGCATGAGCCCCTTTCCCTTGCAAGTTACTATGGCTATTTGGGCCTCTTTAGAGGAAAGCCAAGCAGTGAGTTCCTCTTTCATCTCAGTGAGTGTTGGCATAGGGGGTGGCCACCAGTTTGAACAGTTCTATTTAAAGCCTTCAAGATCTCTGTCTTCTCTGATTTTGATTTCCAGGAGTTAGGACCTGGAAATGTACAGAAAGAAGTCTCATCTTCCTTTGACCGAGTTATCAAGGAGGTAAGAGATGAATTATATCCTGCACTGTTTCTCTCAATCAAACTGTATGCGATGTGGCAACTGTGGGATCAGGCTCATCAGGCCTGAGCGTTCAGTGTCTGTTCCCAAGTGAAATTAAACCTTCAATTTATTTATTTATTCTTCTCATTTCATATATCTTTATTTTACTTATTTTTATTGAAACAGTTGTACATATCTGTGGGGTACAGCTTTGAATATCTCTCCCTGCATGCAATATGTGATGCTCAAATCAGGATAATTAACATATTCAGCATTACACAATGTAATCATTTTTTGTGGCCCTTTACCAATTTCTTGCTAGCCCACCATCCCCCTTTCCCATTTCTTAAACCTTCAATTTAATTTGGGCTGTACTACATGTGTAACATAAAAAAGAAAGAGGAGCAGTGCTTGCTGTTCAGAATTTCAAAGAAACTCATTTTGCCCACTCATTTCATCTTTAAAATTGAAGAGGTTTCTACTGAAAGTCTTCTAATAGTGTTGAAAACTTCAGACATAGAGGTGTTGAAATAATGGCCAGGCCCTTGGTATGTTGGTTATCGTATATCCAGAAATGTTTTTATGTTTTTCTG